TGTTGCTACTCTTGTTCTTTGACTTTGGACTGTTCTGTTACTGTCTCACCCGTGGTTTGTGTGGCGGTTCTCTGGCCGCTGCTGGGACTAGGGGAGATGATGGGTGTTTCTTGGTGCACCTCGCTCATCTCTGTCTCCTGCAGGTAGTAACAAGTGCTTTTCCTAACAGAAATCCAAACGTTGCCATGGGAGCGTCCTTCTCTGCCCCTGAATACTCCATAAAGGTGGCAGATGTGGCCAAAGTGAGGACCCTGAATGCGATTGCAAAGAACATTCTGTAGTGGAAGGCACCGTCCTGGGACAAGAGCACTGAAGACTCCGGGGTCTTCCCTGCCACATGGACAGATGGGTACTGCTTCCGTCCTCAGGCTGCAGAGGATGTGAGCTAGGTGATGAAGCCTGCCTGCCATCTCTTCCCTTGGCTTCCTCTGAATGACCAGTCCCTGCCCTGGAAACTTAGGTTGGCCATTTTAAATAAAAGGACTCATTCCTAGATGCTGTGGCAACAAGCTGCTCGGCGGTATTTGGGAAGAATAGAGCTGAACAAGTAGGGGAACTGAATTGTGTAGCACTGCATGTGATTGTCAAATAAACACTGCAGCTGCCCCTCATCTTGCTGTGCTTTTGAAAAGTTAATTTATATTTTACAGGTAAGATCATGATCTGTGTTGTGTAGCCTGAATTAATCAGGCAGCTACTGCACCAGAGAAGAATACAGTCACATCCAGAATGCCAGGGAGGGAAATGTCATGGCCACAGCTGGAAAAGAAGGCCTGCTGCAGTCAGACAGTAGGATAGCTGGGGATTAGCAACGTGGCAGCTGCTAGGTAGAGGGAAGCACGTTGATATGTAGAGGTGATAAACACCTTAAGGTCTAATGGGAAGGAGCTTATAACCACCTGATGGATCAGGTTAGGTGTTTGTGAGGCATGCTGGACCGTGGGCTGTGAGTGCTTGAGGTGGGAGAGGCATATGATGAGATTCCGTGGGAGGAAAAGGTGCTTTTTCTCGGTGAGTTTCCAGGTCCTCTTCCCAACATGAAGCACAAACTGCTTGTTCTCCAGACAGCACCTGGGGGAGTGTGCCTGTTGGGTTATTGTTGCCTAGTCAGAATTGAAGCCTTAGAGTTCAAAGCACCCAGTTAAAGGTCTGAATGGTGTCAGAGTGGTCCTTAAGAGACCCAGAAATCAAGCACCTGTATTCTTGCTGTCCGCTCTTCTCTGAAAGACCCACAAAACTGAAGAGAATCCCTCTCACAGGAGAGACAGTGGACCTTCTTAGGAAGCAAAAACTGGGGTTCAGATCCATCTGCCCACCTTGGCCATAGCATACAGCCTGTGAGGATGTACAGGAAAATGTAGTATTTGACAAGGTGGCAGCACCTTATGTCACCTGAAGCAGCATCTGTTCTTTGAAAACCTATAACCAAGACTACTTATCTTCAGCTCGAAGAGTACATCCACCTATTTACATGGTTCCATCAAAGGTATCGGTGTCTCCCAAAACACCCCTTGGGAGCACATGTGGTGGTTCTAACACAGGAGCTGGGAAGGGAACGGTTGCTTAGTGCTGGTGTCAGAGCCTGCTTCAGCACTGGCAGATGGGCATGTGTGTGGAATAATCACTGGAGGCGACTTGAAAATTGAACTTATATTAAAGGTATGGCATTGTTCACACTTTAAGGAAAGGTATAATGGAGAAGCTTCCCAGGTAGAGTGGAGCCTGAGCTGGTATGCCAGGAATGCATTCCACAGTGGTTCCCTAGACAACCTTGCCTTCAAAATGGCATGGAGGGTGGAGTGAAGACTCTGCAGCCAGGCTCTGTGATACCATGGCAGAGATGGAAATTTACGGCATATTTGTCACCAATAGTATGGCTTTTTGAAAAATGCTCTGCTTTGTGCAGGCTTCGCTCTTCATAATAACAAAACACAACTCCATCCCAAAGGCTACTCACCTCCGAAGTGCAACCTCACTGAGCTTGTGCACTGAATTTTTCTTCATTTACACCTTTAAAAGTGAAGTGAGAAAATTTTACACCAATCATAAGAAAAGTAAGTGTGACTACAGTCACTCAAACTCCACCTGGAAGGTAAAAAATAATATAAAAATAGCTCAAGAAAGGGGGAAAGTTAGCAAAGACACCATCATCAACCGGTCAGGCTATCACCGTGGACAAGTCTGGGGATATACCATCAACAAATCATCTCTGACTCCTGGAGATACACAATTGCAGACCAACTCTTGAGTTCTGGGGAGATATCACAGACCACCTCTGACTTCTGGGGTCAGTCAATGGGCTGAGCCTCTCCTCCCACTCACTGGGATGCCTCTGGGTAAGATGCAGACTATATTGAGTGCTTCCTCAAGGAGACCTGGGAATGTCTATAAAGTGGGTTTTGTTTTGTTTTTTTTTGGGGGGGTTTTTTTTTTTTTTTCTTTACTTAACAGATTTATAGCCAGGCTATATTATTTATAATCTTGATACCTGCGTGCCCTTTGCAGACAGTATTTATCACCAGCAATCCATAAGAACCTGTACTTCTGTTGGTTCAATAAACTGCACTGTTCACGTAGCCAGCTGTAAAAGTTTCTCACTGGGCAGCACCAGGGGTCTGGCCACGTGAGCCTGTGGGGTGTGACGAGGCACAGAGTGCTGTGCGCCGTTATTGCACCCGTAATCGTGGCAGTTCCATAAATTAAACACAACTGGACCTAGAGTGCTAAGTTGGATATCACTCTGAATCTAAACCTAGCTGCCCCAGCTCCTCTGGTACCTGAGGACGAGCTGGAACTCAAGGAGGTTTAGTTTCTGCCAAATTGCTCAACCTTTTAATGCAACAGTGCAGTAGGAAGGATCCCAACTCAAAAGAAGAGATGATTAGATGTGTGGTTAGAGTCAACATGGTTCAGAATATCTGATTTAAGAGTTCATGGCTCAGGCTATGAGATTCGGTGAGTCATGGTGATGATTAAGATACCGGTAGCTCAGTTATGTATTCTGCTGACACAGCCCCCTGGCGTCACAAACACAGAGTTTGTTTCTTTCCTTTTGTGCAAAGGAAAAAAATAATCCCCCGCCCTAAAAAAAAAAGGGGGGGGGGGAATGAAAAAAGGCTTTTGAACTTCAGTGGAGCGTAACAGAACAGAGAAACAAACCCTTCAGAAGCAGAGGTGAGAAGGGAGGGCTGGGCTAATTTGTAGGTTGCCTTGCAGAAGCCTCTGTCCCAGACCAGACCCTACGTGAGACAGATGTAAAGCAACGCCTGATTCTGAAAAGTCATAAGATGGTGGACAACAGATGGGTACAGGCAGGGAAGCACAGGGAAGCAGTGTGGCATTTGATAGTCAAAAGGTCTTAGCACTTTGATTAGTTTGGTCCCAGTGACCATTTTCTGGGTATTGTAGTGAAGGAAGCTTTACAGAAGGAGCTGAAGGACAGTGAGGTATCTGGGTTTTTAGGAGGAGTATGTCCTAGGTCTGAGGGTAGAGAAAGTGATGGAGTGCTTGCTTTGAACATTAAATACGGTTTGCATCCTGCGCTGAGCAAAGCACTTCAACTCTGAATGAGAGACCAAAGATGGTGTGAGGATGGGCTGTGATGTGTACTGAAAACAAAGACAGGTTGGTGGGACAGAGCATTGAACAGCAAGTGTCACAAGCAAGTGGTCCCCTTGGCAGCAGTGCACCAGGTGGATACCAGCAGGTGTACTTGCCAGAGGACATCTGTGCCAGTGAGCAGAAAGAAGAATCACTTCAGAGGTCTGGATGGAGAAGGGCTGAGGGGGGACTGCTCTTTTCACTTATTTCTTATCCGTTGCATCAGATTGCTGCTCTCATCAGCAGACTATTGGTTCCAGCCTGGAGGACCTAGCACTAGGGGTAGCTTTATTTACAAAAACAAGTGGATTTAATCAGGCAAGCCAATAATAATTAACCAATGAGTTGGACGTTGAACCTTTCTCTGGTATTGATGGTGAGGGGGTTGTTCCTGAGCAATTACTCACTGTATCATCCTTGACTTCTGAGCTATCTACTAACCCCATGAACAATGAGACAGCAGAATCCTTGCAGTTATGCCCCCATCCCCTCTCACTTACTGCTCCCCGAGAACACGTATGATAAAATGGATTCAGTTCCAGCCTTAGAGTAGCATCATACCCACCTACCCCCAAACCTCCACCTTTCTATGCAGCAGGATGATAATATAGTGGCAGTCACCCTTCTCAGGAATGGTCCTCTGGCTGTCTCAGACATTGGGGATTGCCTTAGAATGAAGATTCAAAGTCTCTTTCTGGTTTTGTGGTCAGGCAGCTGCCGTAAGGAGCAGACAACACAGATACGTGGAAAAGGGAGAAGCAAAAGGAAGAGTTGGGAAGGTCTCCAGACTCTGCAGGCCAGAAGAAGTTGGTAAAAGGAACCTGGATCCGGGGGACTCTGAAAGATAACTGCAGCATGTGGTCATGTCAGCTGCCACACGCAAGTTCCCAGGCCTGGAGCACTGGTGGTGTACTGGGCCTCCTTGCTGGGTGGCACATGAGAAAAAGAGTACCACCTTCCTGGGTGGACCAGTCTTTGCTGGATTTTTGGCAGCATTTGGCAGGAGAGGTCCGTTGTACCAAAGTAGTGTCTTTAGTGGTTCCATAGGAGCTTGTCTGTTGGTGTGCACTGGTGAAGGCTGTGGTTTCTGAGCCATGGCTGTGGTGTCCTACAGTGACTCTGTGACAGTGGCTCCCCTGCATCTCCCCTTTGACCTCTTTCTTGGGCCTTCCTCTCCTTCCTTCCTCAGACCCTGCACAGTTTACAGAACCCTTTTTGTCACTGCTTTGGTTTGTGATGTTGTGCAACAGAACCAAGTTAACAATTAACGGTGTGTCATCGGGGATTTTGTCCCAACACCACTTGAGGGTGTGTGGGGACTTTCGTCCCAAGCACCCGCCTAGGACTCTGGCAGCCAGACAGAGCGAGCTGAAGGAGCCGCTGTCTCTTCCCCTCCAGCCATGTCGGCAGCCCTGGAGGAGTTCTGCGGCTCTGTCTTTTGGGTGAGTGGCTGCATCACCCCCGTTGCCCATTCTTGACATAGGATGCTTGGTGGAAGGGGAGAGCAGTTGGTCCCAAGGCTGACAGCTTGGTCAGACAGGGTGATCCAGCTGGTAGCGGTGCGCAGAAGTTCTGGTGTCTCTCCAGGACTGCCATGGCACCGAGTGCTGTGCACTCCCTGCTGCTACCCTTGAGATGATGCAAATGACAGTTCCCTGAATGAGCCCTGTCCTCTTTTAGCCCCACAGCGCAGCTGGAGCATAGGACACCCTGCACAGACCTCTCAAGGAATGATTTGGGTCCAGCTACTGTGGGTGGTGTGGCTCCAGCAAGGGATGGTTGTGGGGGAGGCCCTCCCAACATTCAGCCAGATAGATTGGTAGGGGACATCACCTGGGACCTTGGCTGAGTGCTGAAATGCTCAGCTAGGAAGGTGGGTGTTGAGAAAGGGGGTGCAATGGTGTGGAGGAGGGTGGGCAGGAGCTATAGGAGTGATGGTTCCCGTGACATGAACGAGGTAAAGACCAAGCCATCCCAAATGATTTCGCTGTCTGTCCTTGTTGCCCTCAGAATGCCTCCTACCTCACTCGTCCGGATGCTGACCTGCCCATATGCTTCCAGCAGACTGTGCTGGTCTGGGTCCCCCTTGGTTTCTTTTGGATTTTAGCTCCATGGCAGCTCCTGCCCATGTGCAAATCCAGAGCCAAGAAATCATCTGTGACCAAACTCTACATCATCAAACAGGTAGAGTGGGGCTGAGAGGGCACAGAAAGCAGATTGAAACGGTCTGGAATGGAGAGGTGGTGAGTGGAAAGCCTCTGGGCTGGGTTCAGGTGTGGGATGGAAAGACGAGAAGTGTAGGAGAGAAGTGTAGGAGCAATGGTCTAAGGCACCATCTGGGACAGACGTGTAAAGGGAGGGCTGGAATGTCACATGTCTGGAACAGAGGGCATAACAGGGCTGGGATGCACTGAGAGGGAGGTCAGAGGTGTATATTGGAGCCTCTCATCTGGTGGTATGTTATCCTCCGAGCATGAAATGATGGCAGTGCTGTGGACGCGCTGCAGCTTCACAGGGCCGCAGAAAGCTCTCCCAGGCCAGGTTTGGGTTGGAAAGGGTGTAGTGGTGTATGGGACACAGTGCTTTTATGCCCAACTGTGTTGCCTCCGGTGGCTCCCAGTGCCCACAGCGGGCTGTGTCTCCCCTCACAACGGCTCCCCTTTCGCTGCAGATGCTGACTACCTTGCTGATGCTGACGGCAGTGGCAGAGTTAGCCCTGGCCTTTGTGGAGGACGCAGAGTCTGGTCCCCTGCCAGCTGTGCAGTACACAAACCCCAGCCTGTACCTCGCCACCTGGGTAAGGGATCAGCCGGGACACGTGCTGGCCGTCACCAGAGACGGGCTGTGAGACAGCAGGGCCAGCCAGCAGAAAGCTCCCCATGGCACAGAGACCACCTGGGAGCTGTGCTCACAGGGGAAGCGTGGCCTGGAAGAAGGGTAGGGACTAGCCCCGCACACGTGGGTGGTGCACGAGGGTGATAGGTTGAGGGCAGGTGTCTGGCTGGATGGCACTGCCTCCTTTTATCCTTCAAACTGGGATAGATGCTATGCCTGTGAGCACAGCCGAGCTTTCTGGCAGAAGCCTTCGTAGCAGCAATACGGGTTTCACAGGAGGGATTGCACAGCAATAGGATCAGACCATGGCTTGCTGCTCTGATGTTTCACAGCTTCACATGGGTTGGTTGCTGCTCAGTTTCGTACAAGTGCCATAGGACACCCAGGTGGAGGAGAAAGCTGAGGACATAGGGGCTTGATGGAAGTTGCAGATATGTCATGTGAGACGTGTGATAATGTAAGTCTTAGCAAAACCAAAATGCTCTGGAGCTATACTTACTTAAAACCAGAAGTAACACCCCTGTTGTCTCTCCTTCATATTTTGTTGTGTCATTTAGTTTCATGTGCAGAGTTCATGTGAGATTATAAGTCAAGGAGACTGCCCAGAGATGCTGCACTGCTGAGTGTCTGATCTGGCTTTAGTTCCAGGCCTGGAGGCAAGACGCAGGAGACAGGGTGTAACTCCTCACAGCTGGGTGTATCTGAGCATCTGGAGTGAGAACAGCTAAAAAGAGAAATAATGCCCTGGTGTATCGTTGGGGCGGTCTTCAGACCTTGCTTTTCCTATGAGAAGCCTGATTGTATGTCTTCCTGAAATAAACCTTTGCCCTGTACAATTAACTCTGAAATTAATTTCTGAGGGCTGGCAGGAACCCCAGGCACTGGGAGCTCATTGTATTCAAGGCAGAGAATTCCAGCAGATCACATGTGCTGGCCTCCCAGGACACATGCTCCAAAGGCAGGTTTAGAGCCCAGAGCTAGTCCTGCAGACCCACCTGAACCTCAAACTGATTTTCCTTCCCCTCCAGCTCCTGGTCCTGCTGATCCATGATGTGCGGCGCTTCTGCCTGTGCAGAGACTCGGGGATACTCTTCTGCTTCTGGACGCTGTCCCTGCTCTGTGGGGTGTTGCCGTTCCAGTCACTCCTCCGGAGAGCCCTGCAGGTTGGGTTTGACAGGAAGCTCTGCGCTTCCCTATGATCTTTTTCTATCCCCAAGGAAAGCCCCCTTCAGACTTCAGCTCTTGATAAGCTTTCAGTGGTACCACTGAGATCCCAGCTGTCCTAGAGACCTTGGGGAACCAGAAGAGACCTGAAAAGTAATTGCTGTTTGAATTAATCCTGCCTCTCTGGGCAGGTATAAGCTCTCCAGGACCAGTTTCTCCCCTTATGGACTTACAGGGAGGAGATCGGGGAGAAGCAGAGAGGGGTGGTGAAGTGAAGCTGAGCCAAGACCCAGAGTGAATTTTGCACTGCCCCGTTAGGCTCAGCCATGTTCACTGCCCTGGGGATGGATCTTGCCTCTGAGCACAAGATGGCCTCGAGATGAATGCCAACAGTCATCCTGGGCTCTCTGTTCCTGCAGGCACCAATCTCTGATGTGCCACGATTTGTCCTGTTCTTCATCTCTTACGGGCTCCAGCTGCTGCTCTTCCTTGTGTCGGGCTTCTCAGACATTGCCCCAGAAACAAAGGAAATCAGGAAGAAGGTGCGAGTTCCATACAGGAGTGGGCTTCGGGTACACATCCCGGCTGGCATTACATGGGGTGGGGTGGGCTCCATGCAGAGACTCCTCCTGGCCACTGTGGGAAGGGAGACCTGAGGGCTTCATCAAGGGACACAGCAAGAGCTGGAGCCTGCAGCTTGAAGCATCTGTATGTGTGTCCAAGGGGGGCTGATTCTGGCTGTGAGATGGGGTTCCTAGGACTGGAGCTGGCACAGATTGAAACCTCTGGTGTTCCCTTAATGGCTGGGTGTGCTGAGTCAACTCTTGTCAACAGCATTCCTCAGCATCAACAATCTTTTGGTACCCACTTTGCTTTGTACCCTAGAACCCAGAGGTGACAGCCTCCTTCCTGAGCTCCATCACCTTTGAATGGTATACCAGGTGAGCAGGGCTCTGCAACAGGTTGGGTTGGTGAAATGCAGGGGTGCTTTAGGGCTGGGCCAGTGTTGTTTTGGGGAGCCTGCAGCACAGGCTGCTTGGAGTTAATCATGAGAGGAATCACATTTGGTGCAGCCTGTGTGCCGGGCCAGGCTGGGTGTGAACGCTCTGCATTCACAGCAAGGACCTTCCCTCAAGTCTAGTGTGGGGGACTTGCTGAGAGGAGATTTATCTGCTCCACAGCATCGTTTTCAAGGGCTATCGCAAGCCTTTGGAGATAGAGGATATCTGGGAATTGAAGGATAAAGACAAGATAGAGGCCATTTATGCTATTTTCGAGAAGAACATGAAGGCTGCCGTGAGGAAGGCCCAAGCAGAACTGGAGAAACGAAAACGCAAGAAAAGATGCCGGGCAGGTGACCCAGACCACGGGAACAACATTAGCAAGGCCCAGAGCCAAGACATCCTGGTGCTGGTAAATCCCTTCCTACTCTTGGCCTTGCATGGGACTGAGAGATCCAGGTTCAGCCTTGGGCAGTAGGGTCACCTCACCTGCCTGCAGCCACCTTTGCTGGATTTTCCCCTTTTTGATTCTGCAGGGCCCAGGGAACCCATAACAGGATCTTCCCTGTCCCCATCAGATCACATGTTTTAAGAGACGAAGAAAGTCTGCATCCTTCTGCCCTACAGAAGGACAGGAGCCACCCTCAAGGCTGCAGTAGAAGCAGCTCCCTCATGTCTGTCGTTCCCTAGCCTAGCTACCTCCCAGTAATGAGGTCAGAGTGAACACCACTCTATGATCATCCTGGGTCTTATATTCTTCCTGGGGTGCCTGATTTTAGACCTGAGTGGTTCAGGCTGGTCTGGGGTTTGCAATAATTGTCTTTGGCAGTCAAGAGAGGTGTTAGTACTGGGGGTGTATGACATGAGCAGAGAGGGAACATGACAAGAGGTAAAGCTAAAGCATCATCCAGGATGCCTTACCTGGGGTCTGTATCACTGCCCTGGAAACGTGCTTCCAGGTACAGGAAGCTTGCACAAACAGCTTCTTTACTTCTGTGTGGTCTTCCCTCTAGGAGGAGAAGCATCCGAAGAGGAAAAAGAAAGGAGACAAAGGGGACTCTGCACATCACAAGGATTTCCCCAGGGGCTGGTTGGCAAAAACCCTGTGCAAGACCTTCTGGCAGAACCTCCTGCTGTCAGTGGCTTTCAAGGTGGTGCATGATGGACTTGTGTTTGTCAGCCCCCAGCTGCTGAAGTGAGTCCTTTATATCTGTCCCTGTCCCTGCCCTGTCCTGGCATTGCAGCCAGCCCCACCATCCCCACATGTGTACCTCTCCCAGCCCCACACCCTGGAGATCTTTTGTGCCCTCACCAAAGGTGTGAGAATGTGTTGGGTTACAGTTTAGTGAAGAACTGATCTGAGCTGTCTGCCAGCTCTTATGGGTGTGATATCTTGCTCCCTACACCCTTTTTTATGCAGTCTGCTCTCTCCCTGGAGGCAGTCCTGGCTGCACAGTCTCTGTGGGTGATCTGGCATTAGTGACCCACTGCTACGTGACCTGCAACATCCCTGGCAGGGCAGGGCAGGGTCACCCAGCAGAGCAGGGATCCCCAGCTTGCTGAGCACTGAGCCAGCTGCCTGGGGGAAGTTCTCTCTCAGCATTCTCATGAGGGTGCTCTCCCTGCACTGGTTTGGAGCATCCTGCTCGGGACTGTCTCTGTAGGCTGAGGGGGTCTCACGGACTTCTTTACCCTTCAGGCTGCTGATTGCCTTTGTGTCAGATGAGGAGGCCTTTGCCTGGCAAGGTTATCTGTACGCCATCCTGCTCTTCCTGGCAGCGCTGATCCAGTCCCTCTGCCTGCAGCAGTACTTTAGCCTCTGCTTCCAGCTTGGCATAAACGTGCGTGCCAGTCTCATCGCTGCCATCTACAAGAAGGTTGGTATGGCCCTGCCATTGCCTCTGCTGGCTTTCTCTGAATTGGGCTGGCAATACTGGCATCCGTTGCCTGCCTCATCAATAGGAGGTGACTGGGGTGTGTGCCCTTTATTTCCCAGGTAGGCACAGGCAGAACTTGGCTTGTGGGACACCAGCCCAGTGCTGGGGACACTGGGGGTGATAGTTCTGCCTGGGACCTGGGTGCTGTGGCTGTGTGTTTGATGGCTACCAGGGGCTGAGGGAGGTTTCTTTTCAGAGCAGTGCAACACCTAGGGCAGCTGCTACTGCACAGGCTTGTGGTTCTTTGCCTCCAGCATCCAGTAGCTCCTGGTGTGCAGGCAGTGACGACAGCAGCCATGGCCATCAGGGAGGCACCAGGAGCAAACCCAGGAGCAGTTTGAGCCTGACCTGCTAAGTCCCTGCTCTGTGCCATGCTGCTGGCAGCCAGGCAGCTCCCACGCTGGCTTGCGGTGACTGTGCTTTCTCTCTCCAGGCACTCACCATGTCCAGTGCCACCCGCAAGGAGTCCACAGTGGGGGAGACTGTGAATCTCATGTCAGCTGATGCCCAGAGGTTCATGGACATGGCCAACTTTGTTCACCAGCTGTGGTCATCCCCCCTGCAAATTACCCTGTCCATCATCTTCCTCTGGGGAGAGCTGGGCCCCTCTGTCCTGGCTGGCATTGCAGTCATGGTGCTGCTCATCCCCATAAATGCATTCCTGGTCTCCAAAGCGAAGACCATCCAGGTCAGTGGTGGGTGTGTGATCCTCCCTGGCCTCCCACTCCTAACACCCTCTGTTGTTCCCCTCACTCATTTTCCACACTCCCCTACCCTTTCCTGTTATGCTGCGCATCCTTCCTAGCCTAGGAAATTAATTTTATTTGGGCTGGGGGTGTCTCTAGCCTGAGCTAGGGGGTGATCACCTGACATAAGGAGGCATGTGAGACCTATTCTGCTATCACAGCTGAACTTGAACAGGGCTGGCTGCAGCCTTGAGGACTGAAAGCAAGTTATTACCAACCGTAAAAGAAAGCTCTAGCTTCTACCTGGCAACAGGGTGCTGTTTTATCCCAGACTGTCCAGAGACACAGGGAGCCAAGGTCCAGCTTTGTACGATGGCTTCTCTGGGCTCTGGAGCTCACCCTTCCCTTCTCTGTGGCAACCCAGATGTACTTCCATGAGTGAGCTTGTTCAGCTGACCTTTGGCTTTTCTGTTTCTAGGTGAGGAATATGAAGAACAAGGATGAACGCATGAAAATAATGAATGAAATCCTCAATGGAATCAAGGTGAGCAGTGGCATGGAAACTCCCTGGGCAGCTGCTGCACCCGTCTTCTTGGTGCACTGTACCTGGAGGCAGCACACCTGTATAATTCTATAGCACCAGTGTCATAGCCAAGTTTAGGGCCCTTGTGTCTCAGGTAGCCAAGCCTCAGTCTCTGCAATTCCACTGGCTTCCTCCCCTTTTTTTCAAAAGGTTGGCTTGGGTATGGAGCTCTGGGAACCTGGAACTGGGAGACTTGGGAGCCAAGAGCATGTTTTTTGGGAGTTTTCTGGATGGCTGTGGTGGTTAGAAGGCTGCTGTGGTGGCAGAGGGTCTGGCAGCCACATGCAAAATAGAGGGTACTGTTGGGAAGTGCTGTAAGCCATGGGGCAGGACAGGAGGGGAGGTGCAGTGGCCAAGCAGGCTTCTGAGCAAGCCAGGAGCTGGTGATAGAGGTGCTGGCCACCACTGAGCTGATTGTGGAGACGTGTGAAGCCAGCACCCACACACCCTGCTCATCTCACAGATCCTGAAGCTTTTTGCCTGGGAGCCCTCATTTGAGAAGCGAATTAATGACATCCGGGCACATGAGCTCAAGGACTTGAAGAACTTCAGTTTCTTGCAGTCAGTCTCCATCTTCGTGTTCACATGTGCCCCCTTCCTGGTGAGTGCCAACAGACCTGGGGAGGGCTGCATCTTCCTTGGAGCTGGGGTTGGGCTGTGTCCGAGGGGATGGGAAAGATTTGGAACCTTGGCTGGAGTGCTCCTGTGGCGAGGAAGGGGCTGGATGAAAAATGCCTGGGATGGAGAATATAGTTGTGGCCGCTGGCAGGAGAGCTGTGGTGGAAAGGTGTCCCATCAGAGTGGTGAGATGGGGCCCAAAGGAGAAGGGAAGCAGGAGGGGAACAGGTCCCTGGCAGGAAGGCACCGCTGAGGCCTTAAGGGAGCATGAGTGTCTGGGCTGCACACAACCACGCTGGTGTTGGCTTTCCCTGCTCTCTGTCCTAGGTCTCCTTGGCCAGCTTTGCCGTCTATGTGCTGGTGGATGAGAACAACGTCCTGGATGCACAGAAGGCCTTTACTGCCATCTCCCTTTTCAATGTGCTGCGCTTCCCCATGGCCATGCTGCCCATGGTCCTCTCTTCCCTGGTGCAGGTCAGCCCTCGCATAGGGCAAGGGGTGCAGGGGGATCTTACGATACCTCTGCCCAAACCAGCACTTGGGGCTCAGGTGTATGATGGACCTGGGCCTTGGACACCCGGAGGTCAGTGCCCAGGACTCCGCTGGCACTGGAGCGGGACGGTGCTCACACACGTGACGCTGGGGCCGGGCCTCGGGTGGGACCTGTGTGTATGGGGTGCTCTGCTTGTGGGGCTTCTACCAGCCCACCCAGCTGTGCCCCACGCCCACATGCCATCCTCTCTCTGCCACGGCAGACCAAGGTGTCGACGGCAAGGCTAGAGCGCTACCTGGGCGGAGAAGACCTGGACGCCTCAGCTATCCACCACGACCCCATTGCAGGTAGGCGAAGCCCCGGGTTGCTCCCTGCGGGCAGGGGCTGGCGGGCAGGGGCTGGCCCAGCCCTGAGGGATGGCTCTCTGTGTCCAGGCAGTGCTGTGCGTTTCTCGGAGGCCACCTTTGCCTGGGAGCAGGACGGGAGCGCCGCGATAAGAGAGTGAGTGCTCTGCACCCTGTTGGGGGCAGGTGGGTCTGGGGAGAGGGAGTCAGTCTGTGTTGGTAGTTGGGGATGGCAGTCGCCTCTCACAGTGCTGCTAGGAGCAAGTGCCCCAGAGACACTGCTTCTGCTGGCCTGTGCAGGAGCTGGCAGGTGACCTGTCAGTGTGGCATGCTCAGCCCTCATGTCATTGCAGTGTCACCCTGGACATCGCACCTGAGAGCCTGGTGGCTGTGGTGGGGGCTGTGGGCTCAGGCAAATCTTCACTGGTGTCAGCCATGCTTGGGGAGATGGAGCATATCAAGGGATACGTCAACATCCAGGTGAGAGGAGCTGGCTGGCATGGGGGTGCTGTGGGGCTTGTTGGGAGCTCAGTGAGGAGGCAGCAGGTCAGGACTGGTCCTGGAGTGCCGGCTCAGGGCAAGGACGTGCTGCAGGAGGTGGCAGTGCTCAGGCTGATGTTCTGCTAAGGTAGCCGTTCTTGTGTCTCTCTTTCCAGGGCTCCCTGGCCTATGTCCCCCAGCAGGCCTGGATTCAGAATGCCACACTGAAAGACAACATCCTTTTTGGGTCAGAACTGGATGAAGCCAGGTATCAGCAGGTCATCAAGGCCTGTGCTCTCCTTCCAGACCTGGAACTGTTGCCTGCAGGTGACCAAACCGAGATTGGAGAGAAGGTATCAGCCCTGTGCACTATGGGTTTCCTGCAGCACCTGCAGCAGAGGATGGAGCTGTTGCCCTGAGCCAGCTCAGTGCTCAGAGAAGTCCCTTCCCCTCCAGGGCATTAACCTGAGCGGGGGCCAGAAGCAGCGAGTCAGCCTGGCCCGGGCAGTGTACAGTGACGCAGACATCTACGTCCTGGACGACCCGTTGTCTGCCGTGGATGCTCACGTTGCCAAGTACCTCTTTGAGAATGTGCTGGGGCCAAAAGGGCTGCTGCGAAAGAAGGTGAGCAGCCCCTCCTCCTCCCCACCACCTGGCCAGACAGGAATGGCACTGGCACAGTCTTGCCCATCCAGGGAATGCTTAGATTGCTTGCTTGGGACAGAGACGGGTCCTGTGGCTTTCATGTGGGGCTGCAGTAGGCAGGAGAGACCTCATGGATCCCCAGAGGGGTGCCCTGTGTGCCCATAGCCAGGCAGTGATAAACAGAGAGGTCTCCAGGTAGGGGCTGGAGAGCCTGCAGGCCCATGGCTGGGGATGGAGGGGTGCTCTGACTCTCACTACCCTGCAAAAATTTGTTGCAGACGCGGATCTTGGTGACGCACAGTATCAGTTTCCTGCCCCAGGTCGATAACATCGTGGTGCTGGTGGCAGGAGCAGTCTCTGAGCACGGCTCCTATAGCACCTTGCTTGCAAACAAGGGGGCCTTTGCCCAGTTCCTGAACTTGTATGGCAGGCAGGAGGACTCCTCTTTGGAGAAAAATGCCACAGGTACTGGGAACACAACGGGGCTGCGGCAGTTAGAGGGGCTGTGCATGTGTCCTAGGGTTATGAAAACCCCAAGACTTGATCCCTCAGTCTGACCTGGCCCTATCCAGCCCAGGCTCCACTGGTGGATGCTGTGAATCCTTGCCTACTTCTGGCAATCAGCAGCACAAGGACTTTCTGCCTAAGATTTACATCCAGGCTTTGTGTTGAAGAGCCAGTGAAGGATCTGTCTAATTTTTTCACACCCTTTTTAATTTTATTACATTAATGGGTCCCAGAATCTTATGTGGCAATGAGCTCCATGCCTTAGTGATGCTGGGGTGTGGAAGATCCTTTGGTTAATTTTAAACACGCTGTTGGATCATTTTCCATCTTTATCATGTCCCTCAGTGCTATGGGGAGGAGTGGTGTCAGATCAGGTGGATGCCTACCCTGCCTGGGCAGGGCAAGTTGTCCAGCTGGAGCCTGGCTTTTCCCAGTCCGTCCCCACAAGACCCATCTCCACCTGCTCAGAAAGATGTTCCTGAACTGGAGTGCCTGACCTACCAGATCTTGCATCTACTAAACTAGGAGGAATCTCTGTTTGAGGTCCCACCAGTGATACTGGGATATGTCAGCCATAGAGACTGCCTCCACACAGGCCTTTTGCCCCACATCCCATGTCAGTTCTCTCTCCAGCACAATGGATTTCTCCCTCCTCCTGATGTACTGGGCTTGCGGGAGGGTTGGAGGTGTGATGTGTGGTGGTAGTACACAGGCTGGGTCTGGTGTGGAGGGCGGAGCTGCGTGCAGCAGAAGTGTGGTGCATGGGATCTGCTCTCTCTTCAGTGACTGACCCTACCTTCCCTCATGCCTGTGCTTGCAGCTGTTGTTTTGGCTGGGGATGAAGAGCAGGGTGATGAAGACGTTGAGCCTTGTATGGAGGAGAGCCCTGATGATGTGGTGACCATGACCCTGAAGCGAGAGGCCAGCATCCGTCAGAGAGAATTCAGTCGCAGGTTGGAACTCGACTTGAGCTCTCAGCTCTCTCCCTTGGCCTCTGCATTGCTGCCTAGGAGAGAGGGAGGCTGGGGGTTTTCCTGGGGGGTTCATGCAGAGAAGGGGCTGGGACCATCTCTACCTCCTCCTCCCATCAGCTGCAACGGGTCAGGAGCCATCGATCTTGCCTTTACTCACATTAGTGTGTCATAGCCTTACTCTGTGGTCTTCCTTGAAACTTCTGCTGCTTGGCTGGTTCTGCTTTTGGAGTTGAGGGCTGTGATTTTGTGGCTTTCACAAGGCTCATTCAAACCTGCCCCAGTTAGAACGCTATTTCTCAGAGGACTCCATCACTGGAGACTATCCAGCATCCTGTGATTAATGGTGCTCTTCACCTCCCTGCAGCCTTAGTAAAAGCAGCACCCATTCCTGGAAGAAGGCCCAGGAGGAGCCCTCCAAGAAGCTGAAGGGACAACAACTGATTGAGAAAGAAGCCATGGAGACCGGCAAGGTGAGTACAGATTGATGAAGCACTGTGCTGCCCTGGCTCAATGCTACAAGACCTTGACTGTGGCTCAGAGAGTGTGGTGCTGGCTGTCTGTGACCCCATTGCAGCCAAGAGACACTGAAGGAGACAGAGCTGTCTGTCTGTGACTGGTGGGCAGGGTGGTGGAGGGGAGCACTGTGGGCAGCAAGGCAGGAGTCCCAAGGCTGCGCTGGCTGCAGTTTGCTGAACAGCAGTGACGGGCTGAATTGGTCCACAGGTGAAGTTCTCCATGTACCTGCAGTACCTGCGTGCTGTTGGCTTGTGTTATTCTGTCTGCATTGCCTTGGGCTACGTTGGACAGTATGTTGCCTTGGTGGGGACCAACCTGTGGCTCAGCGCCTGGACTGACGACGCGCAGCGCTACCTGAACCAGACCTACCCTGTGCAGCAGCGGGACCTGCGCATCGGCGTCTTTGGGGCACTGGGGGTGTCACAGGGTGAGTGTGGGAGCACAGGGCATCCCGCTCACCTCAGCTCTGTGGCCCAGAAGGGACATGGCTTTCCCAGCCTGCAGCCAGCAGTGCAGCAAGGAGCAGAGGACGCAGCATCGTGTATTCACTTGCCTGCTGCTGCCCTCTTTCTGCCTCCTGGCTGAACTGGAGACAGTATCTGTTTGAAGACAGCATGAATTGCCCCAAGAAGTCTGTGTTACCCTCTCAGGCTGAAGATTGCTGTCCTTAAACCAGCCTGGAGATAGTGCCAGGGTTAATGTTCTTTGCTTATGGTGGGACAAAGTTACTGGGGGATGAAGGTGGGATTCAGACCTATCACAGTGGCTTGCTGCAGAGCTGCTTCATGTGTCACCTGAGTCAAGGAGAGCCTGGGGTCAGTGTCACATATGAGCCCTGATGACCACCCTGTGCTCTTTTTGCAGCTCTCTTTCTGCTCTTTTCAACCACCCTGTCTGCTCATGGTGCCATGCGAGCCTCCCGGGTCCTGCATCACCAACTGCTCAGCAACATCCTGCGTGTGCCCATGAGCTTTTTTGACACGACCCCAACTGGCCGCATTGTGAATAGGTTTGCCAAGGTAAGAGCCTGAACATGGAGCAAGTGTTTGTTCTAGCAGGTCTGGAGAGCATTGGGTGGTGGCATAACCTTTGTTGCTGTTCAGTGCTGCACAGATGAGCCCAGATCAGGACCTGGAAAGGCCCAGAAGGGCATGGTGGATGCAAGGCTAACTGTGAGGCAAATCACATCCTGGGGCTATACTATGAGGAGAGTGGCCAGCAAATCACAAGAAGTTATTGTTTCCTCTGCTCAGTGCTAAAGAGGCCACAGCTGGTATTGTGCACTGGTTTTGGGCCACTGGGTCAAGAGGGATGTGGAGAAACTGAAGAGAGTCTGGAGTAGATTATCAAGAGAGGTAGGAGCCTAGAGCTCATGTTCCATAATGAGATGTCCTTCTGGTGATGGACTCTCAGCAAAATACTAGGTCTTTTCTATGTAAATGGAGCTCATAAAGACAAAACGAGAAAGGAGGCAGAATACAGACAGGTAGTTGATGATGAACAACATGTACAGTTGAAGATGCAGTTCCCAAAGCTGGTCTGTGCAACAGGGGATTATAGAAAGCTTCTCTGTTAAATCATACATTCCAATGCTAAAAGCTGCGGCCCTAAATGTTGTTTGACCCTAACACAAATTCAGTGTCATTCAATATTTTTGCAAGTGTCTGGCACTATGTTACCACACAAATGTGTAGGAACCTTGTATGTGTGTGGCCTTCAGGCTTCTCACTCTCTTTGGGGTCGCTGCTTGCCTCTCCATACTTCTTTGTTTCCTCCAGGACATCTTCACAATAGATGAGACCATTCCCATGTCCTTCCGCACCTGGCTCACCTGTTTCATGGCCATCATTAGCACGTTGCTCATGATCTCCCTGGCCACCCCGTTCTTCGCTCTCATTATCATTCCCTTGGGCATCTTTTACTACTTTGTGCTGGTGAGTAACCGCAGCTTCAGAGAAGTTTCTGCCCTGCTTAGAGCAAATATCTTCATTGTTGCTGGGCTTTGTGTTGGTAACAAGCTATGTCCCTCATTTCAGCGCTTCTACGTCTCCACGTCACGCCAGCTACGGCGTCTAGACTCTGTCACCAGGTCTCCCATCTACTCCCACTTCGGTGAGACAGTGTCAGGCCTTTCTGTGATCCGGGCCTATGGACACCAAGAACGGTTCCTGCAGCAAAATGAGAGCACCCTGGACATAAATCAGAAAAGTGTTTACTCCTGGATAATCTCAAACAGGTGAGTTTTACTCCTTATGCCACAGCACAGCCTGTAGCACCTCTGCCTAGGGTCTTCTGGGTCCTGAAGGAGGTCCCTGAGGTGCTGCAATCCACCCTCTTGAACTCAGGACCGAGGGTCTGTGTAGGAACTGGGCGAGCTTGGGATAGGGATACCATCTGTGGGAAGGAGACATTTTAGGGTGACTTTTGGAAGCCAGAGTATGGCCCTCTATGAAGTGTCCAGAGCCTGGGCAGGGTGAGCTATGCTGTCAAGGGCTGAGATGCTCTTGGTGGGTTCTGGGAAGAGGCCAATGCTCCAGGCCAGGTGGGGCACTGTCTGGTGTTGATGTGCTACTGGTAGGTTCTTTGGGTGTGTGAGGGTTGTACAGCTGGGGCTCCTCTGATACATGGCATCACCAGCTCACGACATTGTGTGACACCCGGGGAATAACAAATAAAATGAATCTGCTTGCAGAACGTGCTGTGTAGGTGTAGGTACCATGTGTGCTGCATGTGTACTGCGCTGGGCTCAGGGCTGGGTGCACAGGCATGCTGGTGGGCTGCTGGTCGTACTGGTGGGCCTTGTGTTGAGTGTGGGCAGATGCCTCTCCCACCAGCCCTCAGCTGTCCTCTCCTGGTGCAGGTGGCTGGCCATCCGTCTGGAGTTCGTTGGGAGCCTTGTGGTCTTCTTCTCTGCGCTTCTAGCAGTGATTTCAAAGGGCACTTTGGAGGGTGGCATCGTGGGTCTTTCTGTCTCCTCTGCCCTCAATGTGAGTCAATGAAAAGCTTTTTCTAACTCCAGGACAGGGCTGTTCTGGGAGCTCTGGGCTGGCTGCAGGATGCTGCCCTGCTTGCAGCTCTGATCCATGGAGAGGGGATTAGCTGGGGTGTCCCATCACCTGGGGAGCTGCTGTGGAGCCAGGGGAGCACACATCCCAGTGCGAGGGGGATATGTGCTGCCAGGAGGAGGAGCACGGTCCTACTGAGGATGAGAGATGCTGCAGCAAAGCTTTTTGCACAGCTGGGGAGAGGGGGCTGTGTCTGGGGAGTAGAGAGTTAGGGGCCAGGCCAGATGCTTGTGCCCAGGCTGAGTCCCTGAGCTGAGGTGGGAGGTGGTTGTTCTTGGGTTCCACTGAGCTCTGCATCCTCTGGTTCTGCCACGCAGGTAACCCAGACTCTGAACTGGCTTGTGCGGACGACTTCAGAGCTGGAGACAAACATTGTGGCTGTGGAACGGGTGCACGAGTACATGAAAGTGAAGAATGAGGTGAGGAGACCAGAGTCCAGGCAAACACCTGCTGCACAGCTGGTGCTTGCCATCATTGCAAGATGCAACCTCCCTAACGCTCCTGTGCCCCCAGGCTCCGTGGGTGACAGAAAAGCGTCCACCCCGTGGCTGGCCCAGCAAAGGTGAGATCCAGTTTGTTGACTACAAAGTTCGCTACCGACCTGAACTGGAGCTGGTTCTTCAGGGGATCACCTGCAATATTGGGAGCACTGAGAAGGTGAGGACCTCTTTGCCCTCGCTACATTCTTTCCAGTGTGACACTGTGTTAAAGCTGTTGTGTCCTCTTGACTTCAGTCTGTGGGCTGGGAAGGGATGGTTACAGAACATGGCTCCTGGGCCTGTGAGCTTTAGAGCAGGGATGAAAGGAGGCAGTCTGGGAGATGGTGATTGCAGATGCAGGGCAGAAAGGCCCACCAAGCCAAGAAGAAGGGCATCTGCCCTGTTTTCTCCAACCCTGTCAGCTGGTCTATCTACTTCCACAGGTTGGGGTTGTGGGCCGGACTGGGGCTGGAAAATCCTCCCTCACCAACTGCCTCTTCCGGGTGCTGGAGGCTGCAGATGGGAAGATCTTTATCGATGGCGTGGATATAGCAACGATTGGCCTCCATGACCTGCGCCAGAACCTCACCATCATCCCCCAAGTGAGCCAGTTCCCACTTTTCCATGTCCCACTGCTGCAGGGTCTCCTCAGGCTCTGTTCCCTGGGTGATGCACTGCCTTTAGTGCGTCCCTGGGTGCTGCAGCTACTCCAAGGGCTTGTGAGCATGCTGTTGCCACCTCCCTTGCCCAGCTCCAGGCAGCGGTGGTGGCAGGTTGTCTCTGTACTTGGGGGCCTGGAGCCATTGTCCCAGCCCATGGGGTGGCTGAACATGGTGCTGTCCTTGGCAGGACCCTGTGCTCTTTACTGGCACCCTGCGGATGAACCTGGACCCCTTTGACCAGTACAGCGATGAGGATGTCTGGAAGGCCCTTGAGCTGGCTCACCTGAAGACATATGTGCAAGACCTTCCTGAAGGGTTGATGCATCTTGTGAGCGAGGGAGGGGAAAACCTGAGGTGTGTGGAGCCATGCCCAGCTGCCTTGCCTTGCCCTTCCCCTTGCCCTTCTCCTTCCCCTCTCCTAGTCCCAGGGGAAGAGCAGCCTTCAGGAGAGTGGCTGTCCAGGGATGAGGGCAACAAAGTTTCTGAGAGTTAAGGTGGGAGGACATGGTCCAGGAGTTGGGGCTGTCAGGGAGCCAACCCTTCCATGCTGTCCCAAACAGTAACATGCTGAGGGTAGTTGTGCTCAGGGTGTCAGGCAGTCAGCTGGGGGAAGGCCAGGGTGGGCTGGGAGGCTGTCAGGGAGCCAACCCTTTCATGCTATCCCAAACAGTAACATGCTGAGGGTCGTTGTGCTCAGGGTGTCAGGCAGTTAGCTGGGGGAAGGCCAGGGTGGGCTGGGTTGGCATGGAGGTGGGGTCAGGGCAGCTGTGTGGCAGGAGGCTGGCAGACGCCCAGCGTCTCCTGTGTGCCTAGTAACTCATGTTCCCCACCTCATGGCAGTGTCGGGCAGCGGCAGCTTCTGTGCCTGGCCCGGGCCCTTCTCCGCAAAGCCAAGATCCTCATCCTTGATGAAGCAACAGCAGCCGTCGATCTGGAAACTGATCACTTGATCCAGACAACAATCCGGGGCGAGTTCGCAGACTGCACTGTCCTTACTATCGCCCACCGCCTCCACACCATCATGGACAGCAACAGGTACTGTAGGGCAGGATCACGGGATGTGGGAGTGGGGATCCAGACTCCCAGGATGGGGTGAGGGGTGGCCAGGAGCAGAAGCAAGGATGCAGCCAGAAGGGCAGGGGTGGATGTAGTGCCCAGAACAGCAATACACAGTTTCTAGGAGAGAAGAATGGAGGGATGGGAAGGATGGCCATGCAGTAATTTTGCCTTTGTGCATAAAACATTTTTGGGGATCCTTCTTTATAGCAACAGGCCATAGAGGCAACGTTGATTCACCCCACCAGTTGTTGTTGTCATCCCACCAGCATGGGGAGGAGACCTGTGCTCTTACCTCTGTGCTGGGAGGAGGCAAACCACGTAACGTGGCTGTAGGAAGAAAAAGGGTCAGTGAGGCTGTAGTGCTGGTGCCAGCAGTGCTATCAGCCGATTGTGGGAGCTTGGGCCTTCTTGTTCCCTGCTGCCAGGGTGATGGTGCTGCAGGCTGGGAGGATTGTGGAATACGACAGTCCTGAGGAGCTGCTCAAGAAGCAGGGGGTCTTCTCCGCAATGGCGAAGGACGCCGGCATCACAAACACGGAAAGCACCGTGCTGTAGCTGGAGGGGAGCGGTGTGCGGGGGCGTGCGTGCGCAGCTCCCTCCTCCTGGCCCTCACCGAGCAGGCACCAGGGTCTTCCTGGAGCCCGGCTGCTCAGGAATTTGTCTCTCAACAGTTGGGAAGCAGAGAGGGGGGGCTTCCCTGGCTGTCAGGGACAGATCATCTGGACTTGAGTGAGCTGTTAACCTTCTCACCACACCCTGCCTGCTGTGCACACAAGTCTGGAGCTGCAGAATTTATTCCAGTATAGAGGGGAAAAGTTATCTGCCAGGCAGGTATACTATGACCCCCTTGGGGGTCTTACTTTTTGTACTTCACCATACCAGGGAATCTAGCTGAGAGATGCTTTTACACTATGGAATGAAAATCATAGTTTAATCTAAAAGTGAATGTTATTTATTTACATTTTGTAACTGCTTCTAGTCTTCCAACTAAAAGTCTAACTTTAAGGCACACTAAAAAAAAAGCCTGTTTAGCTTTAATTGTGGCCGTTTTGGGGAGGCTGGTAACAGGTTCTGCGGACGCACAGGGGTGGGGAGTGCAAATGGAGCAGCACAGCTACCCCCAGGCGTGGGCGCTACTCTGTGGCAGCGCGGGTGCGCCCAGGTGAGCCTGCCTTCCTTCTGCCTGCAGCTCCCTTTGACCGCCCTGCAAAGGAGTGAGGCAGTCCCTCAGGCTGTCCTAACCACCACTGAGACACATTTTGGGCTGCGGCTCCAGCCTACAAACCTGATGGTGATACAGACAAGCTGGAGAGGTGCAGGCACACCTGCATGCTACTCTGAAATACACACACAAGATACCGTGGTTACTGTTGACAAACTCTTGACCCTTCTTTTTTCTTGGGTGTGAAATCCAGGAGCTGTAGCACTGACACCAGCTGCTGGCATGCAGGGAGCCTGTGCCCATGTGCTTACCTACTTGCAGCAGGGTGAAACCTCTTTGCCCCAGCTGGGGGCAGGAGGGACACAAGCCACCCCCACCCCGGTCATGTAACACACAGTGAGAGGAGAGGGCAGTGCAGTCACTTACCCTTAATTAAGAACTTTCCTGTGAAGGTTTTGTAGTACCTGAGCTGCATGAACACCAAGGCAGAAGCATGCTGGACCCCACCAAAATGTTCCTCTTGACCCTGCAGTGCCTGCATGAAGTCTGTGGGCTTTGCTCACCAACCGAGCATGGGCCAGGCCCCTCCTGGCTCTCCCAACACTTGCACAGGCACCTCCTATACCCAAGAGTAAATCTTTATTTACAGAGCAGCACTACAGGGGATACAAACATCACCCCAAGAGAAGGGAGGTTCCCTCCTTCAGAGTACAGCAGCAGCGGGTAAGATGCAGCACCCCAGCAAAGGGCACCACATCCCTCCCAGGGAGGCTCTTGTCCTCCCGGAACATCAGCGCTGTCTCCAGCGCCCTGCAGGAAAGCACAGATGAGGCAATCCTGGTCAGAACCCCCAAGAAATTACGCTGCAGGACAACCTGTGCTTTGCCTTCTGCCTCGCCCCAGCTGAGAGTAGCCAGCTGGGATGTCAGAGCAAAGACAGGTCTTGGGCACTGGAGACACTGTGCTGACAAGGGAAGATGGTGTTCTGGACCGCTGTCTCATCTGGAAGATGAGAACCTCTGCTGCTAACAGCAGAGCTTGGAGAGGCTTGAGCCCCTGGGAGACCAAGCACAGGGATAAAGCAGCTGCTGGTGGCTCCACTGTGGGGATTTTCAGAGGCCAGGCTCATCCCAGCCTTGGAATTCAACTTCTCCCAGCAGATCTCAGAGCTGCTTCCCCAGGCAGTGTGTAGAGGAGGTCTTACCCTAAGGTCCTGTATGGACAGGCAAGACCAGGTTCCTGCTGCTGAGAAGGCACAGGGAGCTCCTTCACAGGGCCTGGATTGCTTTTAACACTACTTGGCTACAGACGGATTCCAGAAACTCAGCATTAGCCTTCCCCAATTTAAACCCACAGCAGTTCCTCAGTCTTGCTCAAGCCTTACCCTCCTGGGCCATGGCTCCAAGCTTTGATTCCCTGTCCCCAACTGGACACAGGAGGCTCAAACAGCACAGATGAACTCATCCCTGCCCTCACTAAGCTGCCTGCTCTGCCAGCCCACCGTTCTTCCTCCCCAGAAGGGGAGGTGGCAGCCATCGTGGTGGGCCCAGGAGCACCACACAGCTGTGAGGGACACAGCCTCGGGGCAAGCAGTGGGGGCTGCAGGGCTGGCCAGCCTCCCTGCGGCCCCTGGCAGTCCCGGTGGGAACAAGGCACAGGGCGCTGGCTCCTGCCCCCGCCTCACGTGTACTCGGTCTTCCGGATGTAGCTGGAGGGCACATAGCCCTGCTTGCCATGGGCCTCGGCCAGCCACCACTCCCGATTGCCCGTGATATCCTCAAACTGCAGGATCCTCAGTCTCTGGTTTGCAGACACGCTCAGCTCATTGGTGTTTCGTCCTTTGAAGGTGTAGAGAGCGTAATAGACCTGTCAGACAGAGGGAGAGCGTCAGGTGGATGGCCACACCCCACAACCTTCTGTTGCACTGCACAGGATGTGTGGGCTTTTGCTCTGCTCCCTGACAGTAACAGCCCCACTTTGACATCTACCAGATGTGCCCCAACCTATCCACCCCCATTTGCAGCCTAGTTCTCTGCCTCTTGGAGAAAAATTCTCAGCCTCCACCTCCCACTGTTGCCTGGTTGCTGCCAGAGAGAAAAATGATTTAGACCCAACTCAAGTGAGGGGGTCAGCCCTTGGCTCCCCCAGACTCTCCAGGGAGGCTGAGTGCTCACCTGATTGCCCTCTGACTCGCTGCTCTCCAGCCCAGAGTCTCTGTCCTCCAGCGAGGGCACGGGCCTGAGATGTGCTTTGGTGGGGTGCCCGTTGTGAGCACTGGGGCTGGAGCCCAGCTCGGGGCGGCTGTAGTGGCGCTGAGGCGCCGCTGTGCCAGCCTCCAGTGGGGCTGTCCTGTCACCAGAGCCAAGCTGGGGCAGAGAAGGGGAGTCCGTCTCTGAGGGAGGCTGTGGGGACTGGTAGGAGTCTGCTGAGAAGGATGAGTCCTGCAGGGGTTTCTGAGTGAAGGCGACGGCTGCCCCGCCGGGACTGAAGGTCAGCATGGTGCTGGTCTGGGGAGAGGAGCTGCTGTGTTCCGACTCGTTGGAAGAGTGGCTGCCCACAGAGACGTCCGACTGGCTGCGGCGCGGGTTGTAGGGCTTCAGAAAGGAGCTGTACACAAAACCCTTGGTCACTGAAGAGAGGGAGAGGAAGTGAGTTGAGACTGATGCCAGGGGGACCAGAGATGGGGACTCCCAACAGGTACCAAGGGCAGGGAGCAGCTACCTACCCCCATTGTCTATGAGCCACCGATTCTGGCTGCCCATGGGGTCCTTCTTCTTGATGACACCCACAATGTCTCCTTCCAGCAGTGAAACATCCAGGTCTTGGGCAGCATTGAAATTGCGGTCTGCCTGAAAGAGACTGTCTGGGGGATAGCGGGCCAGGAGGGCAGCTCGGATGTCATCTGACTGCATGTGGAAGCTGGGCTGCTGAGGAAGAAGGCAGGTGTGAGTGGCTGTCCCAGGCTCCACAGGCCCTGACACAAGGCAGAGGGAACTCACCAAGCCGACAAGGGGCTGCCGCCGGGCAGGCTGCCGCTCCACGCACCTGCTTTCAAAAAGCA